CCTATGATCCGAACATCTCCCAGCAGGCTCTACCTCTAGCACTGGGGTTAGAACTCAACACGAGATTTAGGCAGGGACAAATATCTAGTCTATATCAACCACTATTATAGTACAATAATAAGAGTATTAGGAAAATTATGATGAAAATATAGAGAAAATTACTGTAGCACAATGCTTAAAAATAATATCTATGTGGCTTAAAGATTTAAAGGTAAAAAATGAAGCTTTAGCCGGGCGCGGTGGCTCAAGCCTGTAATCCCAGCACTTTGGGAGGCCGAGATGGGCGGATCACGAGGTCAGGAGATCGAGACCATCCTGGCTAACACGGTGAAACCCCATCTCTACTAAAAAATACAAAAAACTAGCCGGGCGAGGTGGCGGGCGCCTGTAGTCCCAGCTACTCGGGAGGCTGAGGCAGGAGAATGGTGTAAACCCGGGAGGCGGAGCTTGCAGTGAGCTGAGATCTGGCCACTGCACCCCAGCCTGGGTGACAGAGCCAGACTCCGTCTCAAAAAAAAAAAAAAAAAAAAATGAAGCTTTAAAACTTTAGAAAAAAGCAATAAAATGTCTTTATGACTTTGGGATAAAGAGAAATTCTTAAGAAAGATGATATTTCTAAATATCATCTTTAATTGATGATATTATTGAACTTCATCTACAAATATTTCAGAACAATTTCTTTACAATTTCTTCAAAGCTCTTGGTAAGCAATGAAATTTGTCACCTATACTTTGAAAAACAATGTAGGCCTAAATAAATGAAAATTTTAAAAGTAAATAAATTAATATTGTTGCCCCAAATCCTAAGTCCATCCTTTTTAAATATTTTTCTTTTTGTGCCCTGTGGTACATTTGTGCCATCCTTAGTTGTTTAGAAGCCTTTTTTATTTAAAAGTAACAATAGAGAGAATAAGAGCAAAAACTTTGAAGTAAGCATAAAAGGACCAGATTAAGTCCCTTCAGGTTTTTCATTTCTTTATCTAATCCTCTTTCCTCTTCCATCCCCACCAACAACCTCAATCACATCTAAACTCCTGAATACACATATCATATCTGCCATTTTTTATGTCTATATGTGACTCAGATAGCTCTTTTTTGCTTTTCTCAGCTTGGCTGAATCCACTTGGAATTTTCAAAAGTGATTTTATCAAAGAGTATTGGAGAAATAAGTAGCTAAGTACAATGCAAAAGCATAATAGTAAATATTTGCAAAATGTCGATTTTTCATTCTAACATGATAAAATTTTACATTCAGGTATAAGTCTTCAGGCTTACTCACCGAGTTCTTTCCCCTCAATTTCTAATTTGAATTTTCACAGTTTAGAGCAGAAACATTCAACCTATTTTTTAATATTTTATATTTTAAGAAAACTCAGTACGTATACACATACACATACATGCATGTATATGGAAGTGTGTATGACTCAAACAAATTATTCACAAAGTAATGTGCATTACCATCAAGGATGCATTGAGTTTTTTTAATGTTAGTTATTACTTACTAAATTTATTTTATGATACAATTATAGATTACAAAGATCAGCAATTTTATTTTAAATAAAAAGAATAAGATACACTATAAAGGAAAACACCAGAGTGCATCACAGGGAGTAAGAGGAAATATAGTTTGTTTATTTCAGCTGTACTTTATGCATAAATGTATGTAAGTATGTGTGAAAGTATTACATATTCACACTACGGCATGATGTAAATTATCTGCGTTACTGTCGGTCATTGTCAGAAAAGTTTGTAAGTCACTGGTTGAATTTTCTTTGAAGAAAGCCCTTTTTCTTCTTTCAATCAGTTTTTGGCAATTCTTTATAGTGCTACCCTTTTTGTCCCTCTTTGGACAAATTTTACACTGCCTAGCTTAAGTAAATGGGCTAGTTCATGGTTGTTTATAGCCCTAGCATCCACAGGCCCAGTCTGAACTGGGGACAGGTCCACTTACTTTGCCCATCACCACATCACATGGCTGTACTCCACTTATGACAGCAGGGAAGTGGAGGCTGTGACCAGGAATTTACTACCATGGGAATAGCATGGCCTATATCCAAGACTGCTCCAGCTGGGAAAACAATGAAGCACCCGAGGCTCAATGGTATAGGCAGGATCAAGTGATATGGGCTGACCTATGATTGGGTAGGACACTGTGCACCCCTGGCCACTCAGATATGCCTTCATCCTTTTATGGTATTTGAATCTTGTATGAGGTCAAGGTACCCTAACTTCTTCCCTAGAAAGAGAGGGCAATTTCAACCCTTAAAGACAGCGGTCACTTGCAGTCTCCTAACAAATCTTAAAAAGTGTTTGCCGCCCCCCCCCCACAAAAATAACAATTAAAATAACAATAATATAAACTTTACCCTTTCTCTAGTGGAAACAAAATAACCAAAATATAAAAAAACTAACTTTTCCTTGGAAATGAGGGAAAGCTTAGTTTTCAAGAAAATTTAGTTTTCAATAATTTTAGTTTCAAGTTTTCAAGATTAAATGGATATTGTAGTTTAATTAAGGAATGCTGTACACATCGCCATATACACAAATCCTTAGGATCATCAAATCCTTTAGGCCTTCCTCAATATCCTATGACTCTCTTAGATAAACCATTTCTTCCATTCATCTCTATACAATCCCAAGTACTATCTTCTTTATAATCTTTATGAGTGTCTGTAACTTTATTCATTCATTTATTAATTTATTTGTTTCTAGTCTTTTTCAAAAAGAAAATAAACTCATCAAGAGAAGGTATTCTATTGGTTTGATAAACAAGTACATGAATTCCTAATGCCTAGATTAATATTTGGCACACAGAATAACTCAAGAAATATTTAGTACATGCATCACAATTTTTATATTTTTGTTGAGGCATAAGGGCAAAGTTTATTGAAGATAGAAGACATATACAGGAACTGGTTTCCCTTTGTATTAGGTTTTATCCAGCTATCTTAAGATATGTTTCTACTGGGAGAATTCATGTTAGTCAAAAGTATATGTGAATGTATATACATGTATCACGAGTTATGTTAAAAAGTGCATTTCACATTTTATTTGACCAATTATAGAAGAAATATTGTAAATATTACAAAATAGTGGGTAATAAAAATAATTTATACTAAAGTTTGAAATCAATTGGGATCTGGGATAAGGCATTTTATACCCGCCCATCCTATAAGCCATTGTATTTTGCTTTAATGTGATTTTTGATTTATTACTGAAGCACTGGATGATTAATTCAGAAAAATGATGGGTGATAAGAAGGAACTATTTGAAATTTTAAAATCGCAACAGATCATCCACAGTGGATAATTTACATGTAGATAATTGAGAGTTGGCTGAAGATAGATGTTTCTAATTTTGATGGTGTCTTTGAGAAAATAACACTCCTGATATTCGTCGGGTTGAAGAACCACTATTTTAATATAATTTCTGCATGCTATCGTATTTTTTCAGTCTATTTCACAGGAAAAGTGTCCATTGTTGTAAGATATATTGTTTAAATGGCTTGATGTATTACTGCCACACTGTTAACCTTCAAATATTGTGAAGACCACTGCCTAAGGGAGACTGAGGTCAAGACATTTTAGTTACTCTTATTTTGGTACTAAAGCTGAGTGAGGAGCTTTTAGTTTGATAGGCAAAGACAAAACAACACTGGCCCTTTTTTCCTACCATACATTTTCTCCTTTTGTTCTGTGCTCCTCACTCTAATACCAGTTAAAATATCCTGGATAAAATACAGATATGTGTGTGTGTGTGTGTATAATATATATATACCTATTATATATTTGTCTAAAACATATATATCATATATACTTTATGTATAAAATGGACATATTTTTTTAAATTCTTGCAACAGAGTACCTAAATTGCATGCACAATAATGATTCTGAACTATTGAATAGCTCTTGGAACACCAAACTGTATACTTACATATGATGTCACTCATCTTTATCTTAGCGTGGTAAAAAATTATACTCTGAATAAGCATTTATAATATTAATTCATTTGTTGCCAGGAAGAATTATTAATACCTGGGCTTCATAATTTCTATCATTTTCTTATAAACTAAATTAATCATTAATTCAAGCCTTGGGGTCACCTACATCAATCTTATTGTAAGTGTTTCATGATACTTTCAAAATAAAGTATTTTGACATTCAGAAAGTACAAGCTTTTAGCAAGATCAAGCATACTATTCATTTTTTTATTCAGTAGAAAAATTATATGCAATGCTCTATTTTTTGTTACATGGAAATGTCTTAAAGAAGAAAAATAATATGAATGTATAATGGTGTACAATGAAACACTTGTTGCTCATAAATATTCTCATCTGATAATCAATATTTTTATTCATATTCCTTATGATTTTTTCGTCTAAGCTTCTAGAGACTATTTTTTGGTGACCCATCATTTCCTATTAGAAAGCTCTGGCTAGCTTCTAGCATGTTTCGTTTTGAGAATGTGTGTCTCTGATATGTAGGTTACATCATCACCAACACTGCATTTTGTACATTCAGAATATCAGGGACCGTCTGTGACAACTCATCCTTAGATGTGTGGGACCTTTCTCACCGCTCCATCAGCCCTGAATACACGTGTGGGACCTTTCTCACCGCTCCATCATCCCCTGAATAGATGTGTGGGACCTTTCTCACTGCTCCATCATCCCCTGAATAGATGTGTGGGACCTTTCTCACCGCTCCATCATCCCCTGAATAGATGTGTGGGACCTTTCTGCACTCCCATCATCCCCTGAATAGATGTGTGGGACCTTTCTCACCGCTCCATCAGCCCTGAATACACGTGTGGGGCCTTTCTCACCGCTCCATCAGCCCTGGTGCGTGTGGGAGCCTTTCTCACCGCTCCATCAGCCTGAATACACGTGTGGGGCCTTTCTCACCGCTCCATCAGCCCTGAATACACGTGTGGGACCTTTCTCACCACTCCATCATCCCTGAATAGATGTGGGACCTTTCCTCACCCTCCCTTGGCTGAATACACGTGTGGGACCTTTCTCACCACTCCATCAGCCCTGAATACACGTGTGGGACCTTTCTCACTGCTCCATCAGCCCTGAATACACGTGTGGGACCTTTCTCACCACTCCATCATCCCCTGAATAGATGTGTGGGACCTTTCTCACCACTCCATCATCCCCTGAATAGATGTGTGGGACCTTTCTCACCGCTCCATCAGCCCTGAATACACGTGTGGGACCTTTCTCACCGCTCCATCAGCCCTGAATACGTGTGGGCCAGCACCTCACCGCTCCATCAGCCCTGATACGTGTAGGACCTTTCTCTCACTGCTCCATCCAGCCCTGAATACACGTGTGGGACCTTTCTCACCGCTCCATCAGCCCTGAATACACGTGTGGGACCTTTCTCACCGCTCCATCAGCCCTGAATACACGTGTGGGACCTTTCTCACTGCTCCATCATCCCTGGTCCCGATGTGTGGGACCTTTCTCACTGCTCCATCATCCCCTGAATAGATGTGTGGGACCTTTCTCACCGCTCCATCATCCCCTGAATAGATGTGTGGGACCTTTCTCACCACTCCATCAGCCCTGAATACATGTGTGGGACCTTTCTCACCGCTCCATCAGCCCTGAATACCGTGTAGGACCTTTCTCACCGCTCCATCCAGCCCTGAATACACGTGTGGGACCTTTCTCACGCTCCATCAGCCCTGAATTCCATGTGTAGGACCTTTCTCACTGCTCCATCAGCCCTGAATAGATGTGTGGGACCTTTCTCACTGCTCCTTCATCCCCAGACCCTGATGTGTAGGACCTTTTCTCACTGCTCCATCAGCCCTGAGTACAGTGTGGGGCCTTTCTCACCGCTCCATCATCCCTGAATAGATGTGTGGGACCTTTCTCACTGCTCCCTTCATCCCTGAATAGATGTGTGGGACCTTTCTCACCGCTCCATCATCCCCTGAATAGATGTGGCAGGACCTTTCTCACCACTCCATCAGCCCTGAATACATGTGTAGGACCTTTCTCTCACCGCTCCATCAGCCCTGAATACACGTGTCAGGACCTTTCTCCACCGCTCCATCAGCCCTGAATACACGTGTGGGACCTTTCTCACCGCTCCATCAGCCCTGAATACACGTGTAGGACAGCATCTCCGCTCCATCAGCCTGAATACACGTGCAGGACCTTTCTCACGCTCCATCAGCCCTGAATACACGTGTGGAGACCTTTCTCACGCTCCATCAGCCCTGAATACACGTGTGGGACCTTTCTCACCGCTCCATCAGCCCTGAATACACGTGTGGGACAGCCTCTCACCTCCATCATCCCTGAATAGATGTGTGGGACCTTTCTCACCGCTCCATCAGCCCCTGAACCACCGTGTAGGACCACACGTGTGGGACCTTTCTCACCGCTCCATCAGCCCTGAATACACGTGTGGGACCTTTCTCACCGCTCCATCAGCCCTGAATACACGTGTGGGACCTTTCTCACCGCTCCATCATCCCCTGAATAGATGTGTGGGACCTTTCTCACCGCTCCATCAGCCCTGAATACACGTGTGGGACCTTTCTCACCGCTCCATCATCCCCTGAATAGATGTGTGGGACCTACCATGTTGCATTTAAGAGTTTCTTAGACTTTATGTTTACAATATTTTGAGCGTTCAGTAGCAATATATTTGAGATGTCATAAGTAGTATTTAAAAAAAATAAAATTTCTTTGAACTATGAGCTTAGCTCAAAGAGGAAAAAATAGCAAGTTACATCTCTGACAGTTGTTTTTTTTGTTTTGTTTTGTTTTGTGTGTTTTTTTTTTATTTATTTATTATTATTATACTTTAAGTTGTAGGGTACATGTGCACAACGTGCAGGTTTGTTACATATGTATACTTGTGCCATGTTGGTGTGCTGCACCCATCAACTCGTCATTTACATCAGGTATAACTCCCAATGCAATCCCTCCCCCCTCCCCCCTCCCCATGATAGGCCCCGGTGTGTGATGTTCCCCTTCGCGAGTCCAAGTGATCTCATTGTTCAGTTCCCGCCTATGAGTGAGAACATGCGGTGTTTGGTTTTCTGTTCTTGTGATAGTTTGCTAAGAATGATGGTTTCCAGCTGCATCCATGTCCCTACAAAGTACAAAAACTCATCCTTTTTTATGGCTGCATAGTATTCCATGGTGTATATGTGCCACATTTTCTTAATCCAATCTGTCACTGATGGACATTTGGGTTGATTCCAAGTCTTTGCTATTGTGAATAGTGCTGCAATAAACATACATGTGCATGTGTCTTTATAGCAGCATAATTTATAATCCTTTGGGTATATACCCAGTAATGGGATGGCTGGGTCATATGGTACATCTAGTTCTAGATCCTTGAGGAATCGCCATATTGTTTTCTATAATGGTTGAACTAGTTTACAATCCCACCAACAGTGTAAAAGTGTTCCTATTTCTCCACATCCTCTCCAGCATCTGTTGTTTCCTGACTTTTGAATGATCGCCATTCTAACTGGTGTGAGATGGTATCTCATTGTGGTTTTGATTTGCATTTCTCTGATGGCGAGTGATGATGAGCATTTTTTCATGTGTCTGTTGGCTGTATGAATGTCTTCTTTTGAGAAATGTCTGTTCATATCCTTTGCCCACTTTTTGATGGGGTTGTTTGTTTTTTTCTTGTAAATTTGTTTGAGTTCTTTGTAGGTTCTGGATATTAGCCCTTTGTCAGATGAGTAGATTGCAAAATTTTTCTCCCATTCTGTAGGTTGCCTGTTCACTCTGATGGTAGTTTCTTTTGCTGTGCAGAAGCTCTTTAGTTTAATGAGATCCCATTTGTCAATTTTGGCTTTTGCTGCCGTTGCTTTTGGTGTTTTAGACATGAAGTCTTTGCTAGAGGAAAACCTAGGTAGTACCATTCAGGACATAGGCATGGGTTTTGTGTTTTTTGAGACGGAGTCTGGCTCTGTGGCCCAGGCTGGAGTGAGCGGCGCCATCTTGGCTCCCTGCAAGCTCCGCCCCCCGGGTTCCCGCCATTCTCCTGCCTCAGCCTCCCGAGGAGCTGGGACCACAGGCGCCGCCACCACACCCGGCTAGTTTTTTGTATTTTTTTTTAGTGGAGACGGGGTTTCACCGTGTTAGCCAGGATGGTCTCGAATTCCTGACCTCGTGATCCGCTCGCCTCGGCCTCCCACAGTGCTGGGATTACAGGCGTGAGCCACCACGCCCGGCCATCTCTGATAGTTTTAAGCAAGAAGAAGTAATGATAGAAATTGTCATTTACAAAAGCCCTTCATATGCCAAGTTCTATGTTAAAATCATCATTTAAATTGTGAATTACTCATTTATTTTCATATATTCCTATCATACAGAAACTGTTGTTGCCCCTGTTTTGGATGTGAGGAATTACAGCATGAAAGGGGTTAAGTAAATTGTCCAAGGCTACGTTGGAATAGCAACTGGCAAAGTGATGATTCAAATATGGGAATTGAATCCATTGTCAGCACTTTAAACAAATAACTGCATTTGACATTGGAAACAATAAAGCTATACTTTATATGGACACTGGCAATTAATTATCCTGTCTCCTGTTTATTCATTGCCTCTTTTCACTTAGAACCTTTCTATCAACCTTAAAGCACACTCTCCAATATTGGAAATGTGCAAAAGCAATGAAAGGATACAACAACAACAAGATTTTTCTTACTCAACTTCTTGCCCCTCCCCTTTATAGCCACACACCTGGAAAGAGCCTCAGTCTTTCTCTCTCCACTTTTTAATATCCGACTCTATTCTTACCTTTATCTAATGTGGCCTTTGTCCTTATTATTTAACCAATATTTTCCTGCTATGTTCAACAATAATCATCTCTCTCCTTATTTCTCAGCAACATTTGTTGTGTAGGTAACATCCTCCTCCCGGAAAACCTCTTCTCTTTACTGACAGCCCATGTACCTAGTTTTTCTCTCCCATGTCCTCTCTCTTTCAAGGTTAAGCCTGTTCTATTTGTCATTCAGTTCTAGATTTCCTGCAAAGAACTCAAGCTTAAACCTTTTTCCTCACCATTCACCCTCCACTTAGACAAACATATCTAGAACTCCAGCTGCCACCACACACTTCTCTCTCTAGCCACATTCTACTCTTTCTGATATTCAAGTTCCTACTTGATATCTCCCTTTTATTTCTAAAGGGAGACTCTGACTCATCATATTCCAAACAGAACTCATCATGATCTGCCCTTACAAATAGTTATCACCTTTGATCCTGTTGAATGTACCTGAAGCCCAGCAGTCATTTTTTTTCTTCTTTATAAATGAATCAAGTCAATTAATAGTGAATCCTACTTCTTATTCCCCGACCCCACAGTCAAATGACCATCATTTTTCATATTACCTCAGAATGTGTTTTGAATCTGTCTGCTCTCCATGAATCTAGTTGAAGATGACAATGACGACAATAATGATGATGATGACAATGATGAGGACGATGCTGATTGCTAACATTTATTGACTTACTGACTACTTAGCATATGTCAGGTGCTGTAACGCTCTTACTCTAATGACTACTCACCAGAATCCTCACATAAACTCTTGTCATTCCACAATTTGTCCTCTACACTAAAGCCAGAATGATACAGTAGTGAGCAAAGTTGGTATCAAGCTTCTTCTCAGACCCATTTGATGAGTTCCACATCCTATTAGAATAAATACAAAGTCTATTAAAAGGCTGGCAAGGCTTGGAAGATTTCACCCCTGCCTACTCACTTGAGCCTTAACTCATACTCTCCCCCCACACCTCTCTCTTTGCAATACTTATTATCCCTTTTCTTCTTTTAATTCCCTGAATGTGTTTCACCCTGTGTTTATTGTATTTTTCTTTCTAGAATGTAGAATGACTGTTCCCACTGGTTCAGTTAACTGCTCATCATTTGTGAAATCCCTCTAGTTAGTCACAGAGTCCTCTGTCTACTTTCTACCCCACCCCCCACCCCTATGGCTTGATCTGCTTCTACTGGTTTCTTTTTCTCTCCACTAGTAACCTCAGTGATTTTAGGAGATGATGTAATTAAATTTTGTCTTCTCTCACTACACTATAAGAACCATGAGATCCAGTAAACTTTCTTTTTTTGGCTTACCTTTCTCACAGATATCAGGATTCAATACACATCTGAAAAATGAATAAATAAAGAAAAAGGAAGAAGTAAAATATACTATTCTGCAAGCCAGCTTGGACCCTTACTTTTGCTTGCCATTCCCTCTACACAAAGATCCTGTGAGATATCAAGGCATCAGGTCCTGTAGATTATATGTCTTATTATCTCTTAAATCTTCTCCATTCTATTGTCTTACATTCAAACCCTCATCATATTTATCCAAGTTCCTGCAATAACTAGTTTGGCTGCCTTTGAGGTCTTTCTTTGTTTTATCATTGTTATCACAACTGGAGTGATTTTCCTAAATGCAGTCCAGATTTAAAATTGGTAAGTGGATTCTATTTCAGTTACCTGTTGCTATGAAGCAGATCTTTCTAAAGCTGAGTGACTTAGGACAAAGATTTATTATTTCTCATTGTTCCCAAGGACTGGCAAAGCTCTTCTGATCAGTTCTTGCTTGGAATCCCTTATAGGGTTGCAGTTAGATGTTGACCAGGATTATAGTCATCTGAAGGCTTCAGGAAGCTGTACAACCCAAAGTGGCTCACACATGACTCACTGCTGTGGCTGGGCGCTTAGCTTAAGCTGTTGACTGAATCCCCTTTTGTGGCCTCTCTACATTACTCGAGCTTCTCATACCAGAGCTTCTGGGTTCTAAGAAGAAGCATACCAACAACTACCTCAAGAGACTGAGGTAGAAGCCACAACATTTATTGACAATGCAGCCTTAAAAGGAACATGTTATGGCTTTCACTATATTTTCTTTCGTTACAAGTGAACCACTTGATTAGCTTATATTTAATAGAAAGAAACTCTAGAAGAGTATTAATACTGAGAGTCATAGTTCTTTTGGGAGCCATCTGTGAAGACTAACTGCTACAATCCACGTTACTTCACGTAATATACATCAGTGGCATTCCCTAATCCTGCCTTTGCCTATACCTGTAGTCTTACCTTTGACCCCTATTCCAACCCCATTTATTTATACATACACTTCGCTGCATGCATTTAGTCTCCTCAGTATAGTAATAATGTAGTTTTAGGCCACCATAAAACTTTCTTATATGCTCTTCTACAAGATGTTTTGTATTTGTTTTTTATTTGCTAGGTTTTTCTAACTTTATTAATTCTCTAAAATATAAATGTAGAAGCTGTCATCCTTTATGGGAAGCCTCTCTAACAGTCTTCCAGCTGTTTTCTATTCCTGTTGCAACCTGTGGATACTTGTATCATTGGACACTATAATCATTTAAAATTACTTGAGGGCAGCAACCAGCTATTAGCCAATTTTATATGAAGAAGTCATGGCAGGTAACAGGGCAAGAAAGAAATTCTTGCTGAATAACTGGATAAGAAGAAGCACTTATTTTGTTCCTAGACTAGACACACTTTTAGAGCTGCTTCTGGTAGATTTAATTTCTAGTCTTTTGCAGTATACGTATCCCTTCATTTTATGAGCCTATATCCTTTCTGAATGATTCAACAATAAGCTGTGAATTACACATAAAGTACAAGGGAAGCCTGATAACTATCTATAACACACTGCCTTGATTGCCTGACATGAAGGCTGTTCTGTATAATTTCAATAAAGATATTTAAAACTGAAGATTGTGAT